AGAACTCTACGAGAACTAGCCAAAACTCCCCCTAGAACTGCGATATATACTCAGCACGACACCCTTTGCTCGAGTGTCGTGCTGAAATCGGACATTAAAAAATTTTAAAAATTATTAAAAAATGTTTAATCGCCGGAACTATTATTAAAATAATTGCAGAGCATAGAACTCTACGAGAACTAGCCAAAACTCTTCCTAGAACTGCGATATATACTCAGCACGACACCCTTTGCTCGAGTGTCGTGCTGAAATCGGACATTAAAAAATTTTAAAAATTATTAAAAATGTTTACTCGCCGGAACTATTATTGAAAATAATTGCAGAGCATAGAACTCTACGAGAACTAGCCAAAACTCTCCCTAGAACTGCGATATATACTCAGCACGACACCCTTTGCTCGAGTGTCGTGCTGAAATCGGACATTAAAAAATTTTAAAAATTATTAAAAAATGTTTAATCGCCGGAACTATTTTTAAAAATAATTGCAGAGCATAGAACTCTACGAGAACTAGCCAAAACTCCCCCTAGAACTGCGATATATACTCAGCACGACACCCTTTGCTCGAGTGTCGTGCTGAAATCGGACATTAAAAAATTTTAAAAATTATTAAAAAATGTTTACTCGCCGGAACTATTTTTAAAAATAATTGCAGAGCATAGAACTCTACGAGAACTAGCCAAAACTCTTCCTAGAACTGCGATATATACTCAGCACGACACCCTTTGCTCGAGTGTCGTGCTGAAATCGGACATTAAAAAATTTTAAAAATTATTAAAAAATGTTTAATCGCCGGAACTATTATTAAAATAATTGCAGAGCATAGAACTCTACGAGAACTAGCCAAAACTCTTCCTAGAACTGCGATATATACTCAGCACGACACCCTTTGCTCGAGTGTCGTGCTGAAATCGGACATTAAAAAATTTTAAAAATTATTAAAAAATGTTTACTCGCCGGAACTATTTTTAAAATAATTGCAGAGCATAGAACTCTACGAGAACTAGCCAAAACTCTTCCTAGAACTGCGATATATACTCAGCACGACACCCTTTGCTCGAGTGTCGTGCTGAAATCGGACATTAAAAATTTTAAAAATTATTAAAAAATGTTTAATCGCCGGAACTATTTTTAAAAATAATTGCAGAGCATAGAACTCTACGAGAACTAGCCAAAACTCTTCCTAGAACTGCGATATATACTCAGCACGACACCCTTTGCTCGAGTGTCGTGCTGAAATCGGACATTAAAAAATTTTAAAAATTATTAAAAAATGTTTAATCGCCGGAACTATTTTTAAAAATAATTGCAGAGCATAGAACTCTACGAGAACTAGCCAAAACTCCCCCTAGAACTGCGATATATACTCAGCACGACACCCTTTGCTCGAGTGTCGTGCTGAAATCGGACATTAAAAAATTTTAAAAATTATTAAAAAATGTTTAATCGCCGGAACTATTTTTAAAAATAATTGCAGAGCATAGAACTCTACGAGAACTAGCCAAAACTCCTCCTAGAACTGCGATATATACTCAGCACGACACCCTTTGCTCGAGTGTCGTGCTGAAATCGGACATTAAAAATTTTAAAAATTATTAAAAAATGTTTAATCGCCGGAACTATTTTTAAAAATAATTGCAGAGCATAGAACTCTACGAGAACTAGCCAAAACTCTTCCTAGAACTGCGATATATACTCAGCACGACACCCTTTGCTCGAGTGTCGTGCTGAAATCGGACATTAAAAATTTTAAAAATTATTAAAAAATGTTTAATCGCCGGAACTATTTTTAAAATAATTGCAGAGCATAGAACTCTACGAGAACTAGCCAAAACTCTTCCTAGAACTGCGATATATACTCAGCACGACACCCTTTGCTCGAGTGTCGTGCTGAAATCGGACATTAAAAAATTTTAAAAATTATTAAAAAATGTTTAATCGCCGGAACTATTTTTAAAAATAATTGCAGAGCATAGAACTCTACGAGAACTAGCCAAAACTCCCCCTAGAACTGCGATATATACTCAGCACGACACCCTTTGCTCGAGTGTCGTGCTGAAATCGGACATTAAAAAATTTTAAAAATTATTAAAAAATGTTTAATCGCCGGAACTATTTTTAAAATAATTGCAGAGCATAGAACTCTACGAGAACTAGCCAAAACTCCCCCTAGAACTGCGATATATACTCAGCACGACACCCTTTGCTCGAGTGTCGTGCTGAAATCGGACATTAAAAAATTTTAAAAATTATTAAAAAATGTTTAATCGCCGGAACTATTTTTAAAAATAATTGCAGAGCATAGAACTCTACGAGAACTAGCCAAAACTCTTCCTAGAACTGCGATATATATTCAGCACGACACCCTTTGCTCGAGTGTCGTGCTGAAATCGGACATTAAAAAATTTTAAAAATTATTAAAAAATGTTTAATCGCCGGAACTATTTTTAAAAATAATTGCAGAGCATAGAACTCTACGAGAACTAGCCAAAACTCCCCCTAGAACTGCGATATATACTCAGCACGACACTCTTTGCTCGAGTGTCGTGCTATAATTATCTTATTAATTATTTAAGTTATTTACTGTTAATCGACAGAACTATTATCAAAAATTATTTGGAGGTCAGAACTATCCTAGAACTCGTAAAATGCGCCCAGAGAAATAGATATTTCTACCAGCACGACACTCTTCCGCGATGTCGTGCTATAATAGCTTATTAATTAATTAAGTTAATTATGGTTAATCGACAGAACTATTGTCGAACATTATTTTGGAGGTCAGAACTATCCTAGAGCTCGCAAATTGCGCCGTGAGAAATGAATATTTCTATTAGCACAACAAGATAAAATTTTTACAAATATCGTTTAAATTTTGTTTTTTAACTCGTAGAATGCATAGTTCGCCGGAACTATTGTTAAAATCTATCAGGAACTCTAGATCTCGTCGAAATCTATCGAAATACATGAATAAAAAATTTTTTTGCATAAGTGTCGTGCTACGGGAAGTTAGCACGACATTTTTAAAAAATTCGTTTTTTGACCTTAAATTGACAGAACTATTTGCGAAACCTATCAGGAACTCTAGAACTCTTAAAAGTGCTACTAGAACTCATATGTTTTTTTTGAAAATCGAAAAAAGCCGTGCCAACTTCACAGAGTCCAATGCGCTCGTATTGGTGCGCTCCTCGAATTAGACCAATACGAGCGCATTGAAATAAAAAGGAGCAAGTTGGAGCATGCGACGCGAACAAACCTATCGTCTTCTCTCTGTTTTTGCTGTCGGGTGTTAGTAAGGGAGTCACTGCTCTGCTTCCTTCCTGACGATGGTCACCGTTAGGGAGACACTCCGACGGCCGGACGGTTTGAATAGGGAGGAGAATGATATTTAATTTATTTGCGGATTCTACTGAAGAAGACCCGAAGTGGGTCGAAACGTTTAGAATTTAATAAATGAGTTTGATTTGAGATCTCATTTTAATTTATTAATTTGTGCATGTCATCCGCACAGGCTCCAATTGCCGTCGAAATTTTATTTTAATTAAATTTGTTCAAATTTATTTCAATATATAAACACGAATATTTATATGAATTATTAGTAATGTTACGACATTATTTATAATATGAAATATATTTCACTCTTTCTTTCTCTCTCACTATCTTTCGTTCTTTTTAATAAATAATGTACAAATTTTAAGAATTTCGAAAATTTTATGTAGTTTACTCGCGCGTATATACGGGGTGTAAACTATTATATAACGTGATATAGAGGATTATATATTGTTTAAATCGCTCGATTACTGAAGAAACATATTTGTAAAATTAATAAATTTATTTTTGAAAAATACAGTACAAGATGAGTGTCCTAACAGAAGTTTAAAAGAAACGGAAATTAAAGTGTTACTTTTTAATGACATTAAATGTGTTCTGTGCCCAATGCGGAGTACATTTGCTGTCTCATCACTAAGCATGTGTTTCTCAATTATGTGTTTTTTATATTTTCAGATATATAAAAAATTTTTTTTGTATAAGTCTTTGTACAATTACCACATTTTAATATATTTTAATTTATATTTAACGTTGTTCGTTATATTTCTTAAATAATGCCTCATTCATTGAAGAGATCCTCTACATAAAAGAAAGATATAACTTGTTGGAATTAGTCAAGTTTTAAAATCTTGCTTGAATCTTGCAAAATTTTTCAAAATCTGCAATTATCATACAACATATCAAACAAAATCTAATATCATTAATACGTTTTTATTGTCTCCTTCAACACAAAAGTATTATATATATTTCAAAATATAAAAATCATTAATTATTAATAATATCTGTTTTTACTTATTCAAATGCAACACTATTAATTATAAAAGTTTCAAAATAATAGGTATTAATAAATGGTCAATTTTAATTATGTCATATTTTGCATATACTTAAAGTATTAAAAAAAGTTCATAAATCAATTAATTTTTCTAAATTTATAAATTTATAAATTCTACTGCACTAATGCAAATTCTTGCAATCACAATTTTTCTTATTTTATTGTTTATATTAATAAATACAACAAATATAGCAGAGAACAATAAATATATTTTATTCGTCGTTGATTCTCAATTGACATTGCATACAAAATGGGACGTAGTATTTCTCTACAGAAATCGAACATATACGTATATATACATGTATATGTCAATATGACATCTGTCTATAATGTTGGTCCATGCAACTACGGCATATTTTACGTTTTTATTTATTTGTTCTATTGTACTATTTAAAACGAAATATAAGACACAAACTGTAAAATTTGTACTTTAATTGATTTTTTGTGAATAAATGTCTCAATAAACACTTAACCACGTTAAATTATAAAAAATTGTAAATTATACGTATTGTTATCTAAAAGAATCTCCCAATGTTCAATATTTTTACAATTGTATATATTATATACTAATATGCGATTGTTAGTGCGCGGAAGTACTTTACTCATATTGTACTCATTATTCTTAAACATGATGACAAAAATAGACACAGATGCAGGCTCATATGCTACTCAAAACACGGACATATTATGATATCTTGAAACTGTTTGCAAAAAATGTATATAATTATGAGTATATATAAATATGCTCAAATGAATATAATTACTCACATTTTGCATCATGTGTATATAACTCGCACTCATAATACCTATCATCATAATATGATTACAAAACATAAAATACATTTTAATTATATCAAAAGTTCTTGTATAATGCTTTATTTAATTATCTCCATATAAAAGCAAAGCTTTAATTATATATGTATGCTCCTTTATAAATGCCTCAACTATATCTATTGTTTCGACCACCATCTAAAAAAATTAATTAAACATGAATATAAAGACGTGTAAACAAAATGTAATTACCAATTAAAAAATGAGAGATTGCACATTTCTGTTTTTCCTATACATATTTAGTGTAATTTATTGATTCTTGTAAATTTACAAGTATATTAAAAACTTAAAATTATTAGAAGTAATAAATAAATAATTTTTTCTACCTTTGTAATTGTTATGACTAATGGTCCCCAAAAATTTGATTCTTTAAGACAATTCGGGTAATCCTTGTTTGTTATGTAAAAAATCGTGCATTTTCTACATTATCCGTGACGCTGTAAACAATTAAAATATTACTTTAATCATTATGAAAATTTTATAATAAAAAATTATATGCATGCGTATAATAAAAAATGAAAGATTATCGAGAAATAATGATAATGTTGATTCTAATATATATCTATACTTACAATTTTGGTTTCCAAAATATATCGAAATGATCGATCATTTTTAGTGCTCGTACATCGCAACGTAGACCAAGTCTTCTAGCCACGCTATGAAATATTGTATATACAATAAAATCTTGACCAAATTATATTGTAAAACCTGTGCCAGGTATAATACAGGATAAATTAATTAAAGCGACAGAATATTAAGAACAACATATAACATATACATATATGGCCCATAATTATATATATTATAATCTATAATAACTTACATAATCTATACACAAACATTTGATATCTTCGGCTAAGAAGATACATGGTCGAAACTTCAAAGTGCCAAATATATATTCCTGGAGTGTATCTATAATCTGCGTACTTTCTGTTTCATCCCAATGATTATCTTCGATATTGTTGCTTTTCCAATAGGAAAAAGTTTTTTCAGACGTGGAGAATATCGAATGGTTCGGATGCTTCTCTCTGAGACGATTCCGCACTTCTTGTGCGATTGTATCCAATGATGCACTTACATTCGTGTAACATACATCCTTTCGAGGTTGAATACGTTGTGCTATGAAAGTACAAGTTTCTTCCAAAAGCTGTTCTCTTTCAGGTTTCACTATACACATGTCCAACTCATTTTGTATCGAAGATAGCTTTTCATAGTGAGACATTTCTATATTGCAATATTTTTCGATTAATTTGCGATCAATTCCTCTAAAAAATTTATATTTGAAGTATTAAGTTAATCAATAAAATAAAACATTAAATTGTGATAATAGTAGCTCTATAATATATATGAAAATATCCTACCGTGGAGATTGTGTAAACAAGCATTTAATCTCGTCAATATAAAACATATATTTCAGCACATCTACATGCTCATGTGTACTTTCAGGAACAATAAATTGATTTATATATTCATCGTTATTACCGCTGAATTTCATTACATTTTCGAATGTTAATACATTAACAATTAAGTCGAAGTAATTTCATTTGATTCATTATTGTCATAATAATAATCATAAAAAAGAATGTGAGACAAATAATTTCGCAATTGTATCACAGAATTTATGCCTATTGTAACAAAATTTAGGTTTTTTTCTTTTTCTTTTTCCGTAAGACTGTCATATCTTTTCTTCGCATGGGGCCATCTAAAATACGACCAAAAAAAATTGTAATAAATTTTGATAATGATACTTAGTGTTGTGTCAAGATTAATTCAAAAATTAGCTAAATAAAGATGAGATAAAAGTATGTAAATTCATCTTAGATAGGATAAAAATGATTTTGTTTTAAGTTATATCTAGACAAAATATATAATTATATGGCGATATATCTAGATAATTGTTTAGATAATAATATTTAAGACTGCTTATGTAAACACAGTTATATAAGAAATAAAAATTATAAAAAGAATACAACTATATATATATATTCATATTTTTATATATAAATTTTTATCGCTTCACTGTTTACTTTAAGTATTTTTAAGACTCTACGCCAAAATAATCTAAAAATTGTTCTAGATAAATTATATAATAAAATAATATTATTTTCATAATATTAATTCATATTTTTATTATCTATATGCAGATAAGATGACGCCATAGTTCTTCCATTTAATTTTATTTAGATAACACACAGCAAACTTTGATAATAGTAAACAATGTGATTGCACAAGTAATTTTTCAAATTAATAAATTTTTTGAAGTATACAATTCAAAGCATGAGTACATATATGTGACTTCTCTTTATACTTTAATCAGAAAAATTAAAATATATAATATTCAGTATTAATTTTAATTAAATTCATACTTGGATGAATAACATTAGTTTTATATTTATTTTTGAACTACATATTCCTAAAAGTTTATTAAAACTATATTTTCAAATTTTGATTTTAATATGTATATTTCGTAATTTTATACGTGTATTCTATATGGAATTAATAAACATTAATGTGCGTGTGTGTATGTTAAGTTTCTTTTCAAATATTTTGTAGAACAATTTGTTCGAAAGCATATTTACATACAATGTCGACTGTGCTTATATATGTTACTTGGCACGTTTTTACTTTTATAAAGATTTTATTGTGATTTCAATGCTAATTATGAAAAAGAACCGATAGAAAAATATTAAATCTGTTTGTTTTAATCACGAATATATATCATATATATAATCTTTATATTTAAAAATGCAATGAAATATATTGAAGAATACACATTAAAATAAATAAGCAAAGTTACTTTTAAATTTAATTTTTAACAATTAAATCTAAAAAAAATATTTAATGACTAAATATTTTTCGATCGATACAGGCCAATTAATATTTATTTTATTAATCACACAACGTTTCTTGGAATTTTTGGCCTTCTCAAATGTTACTGTTAAGTGTGCGAAGGACCAAAATTATATGGTCGAAACACCGTGGTCAAAACATTGTGTGATTAATTAAATAAACATCAATTGACAAATGTCGGTTGAAAAATATTTATTCTTTTAATTTATGACAGCCGAAAATTAACAATTCTTATCAGTATATTATATTTAACGTTTACATCCATATACATATATATATATATATATATATATGTATATGTATATTATATATGTATATATATAACGGTAGAGTTTGCCAAAATTATTGAGCAATAGAAAAAAATGAAAGCGAATAATTTACTATGCAACATAGATGCAACATACCTAATATTTTTAATATTTTGTATTTATTATATATTTATAATATACGTTCTTCGCAGAAGTGATATACATTGTGCGACAGGCGTTAATGAGACAAAATAACAAAAAGATTTACAAACCACAAGAATTACCTTTGAGATAACTTTTTTTCCAAGAACTTGTCATATGTGGCTGCATAACGAAATTGCTTGCACACGCATCGAAAGTTGATGATATCTTCAATAGTGAGTACATTATCGTTGAGAATGTGGCTTATCATCTCCTCTGGTAAGCACGTTATCTTATAATCAGACATTATGAGAAACAAAACACAAAAAGGAATGTAAATTAAAGTGATTGCAATAAACTATTCGCGTAATGCCTTGCTTTTTGTAGTACAAGAAATGCGTCTGCCGATTACGAAGAGCACAGATGTGTGTTTGATGTACACGAGAGACGTTTTCCACACTGTAGACGTTCTGTTCTTTATTATAAAATTTGACCTTTAAAGCATTATTGCTTTTTTCACTAAGATATAGGTATAAGAACTTGCCACGGCATGCGCAGAAAATGTAATTTAGAACTAGCAAATTTACCGTTTCTTCCTATGCGTTTGAAAGAACGTGGTAAATAATTTATTTATTATTTATTTTGTTATCACTTTTTTTATTTATTGTTCTCTATATAAGCTTAATTAAAATAATAAATTTTTTCAAATTTATCAGTTATTTCAAATTTTACTAATTTTTATGTATTTATATTTTGTATTATTTAAGATTAAATAATTATTTTATTTTAAATTATCAATTATTATATTAAATTTTATAAATTTTTTGTATTTATATTATACAGTTTACAACTCCAGTGCTGTGCATTATGAAATATTCTCGATAAGAGAGAAAGGGAAAGAGAGAGATTTACATTTTGCATTTTTCAAATCTTTACAGATAAAATTCTCAGCTAAAATAAAATTTTTGACTTACAATACAAATATTTAATAATTGATGTATGTACATAGTTTATATAAGACTATGCTACAATTTTATGTAGTTTTATTCGCGCGTATATACGGGGTGTATATATTCTAGAAATCTAAACTTTATAAGAATATAAAACTTTATGGATTAAATACAAACTCAAAATGAACAGACTATGCGAACTCAACGCAGATGTTTGTGAATAAATCTCAATTCGAGATTTTAATTTCTATGTTTCCTTTTGATCTCCCTACAAAGATGTAGAAAAGCAAAATATATCGGTCCAAAAGTCGCTGAATCGGAAACTGAGGTATTAAAATTGAGATCATTTTGCAAAATCTGTAATTATGCTAATATCATACAAAATCTAATATCATTTATAAGCTTTTATCTCGTCTCCTTCAATACAAAAGAATTATGTATATTTGAAAATATAAAAATCATTGTCTTTTATTAACATACTTATTTATACTTATACAAATGCAACACACTATCGATTATATATGTTTCAAAATAATAGATATTAATAGATGGCAAATTTATTACGTCATTCTGCATATATTGAAAGTGTTAAAAAAAGTAATTAAACTAATTAATTTTTTATTTTCAAGATTTATTAATTCTTCTGCACCAATTCAAATTGTTGCAGTCACAAAATTTTCTTACTTTATTATTTATATAATTGAATACAATAAATATCGCAGAAAGATAATAGCTATATTTTATTCATCGTTGATTCTCAATTGTCGAACATGTATGTATATATGTATGTGTCAATAACATCCTATTATCTATTATGTTGGTCCGAATCTGTAGATTGATCTGTAGGTGGATTATATATTATGATAATTTCTACAGCATATTTCACGTTTTCATTTATGTGTTCTACTAATTAAAATAAGATAGAAACTGTAAATTTTTTACTTTGATTTTTTGTGAATAAATGCCTCAATAAACACTTAAAACACGTTAAATTATAGAAAATTGTAAATTATACATAATTGTTATCTGAAAATATCTCACAATGCTCTTTATTTTACAATGGTATATGTTATTTACTAACTAGCGATTATGTTAGTGCGCGTATGTTTTTTACACATTACAATTCATTAATCCCAAATAGATTATTATGTGTCCATATAAACGTTTCAACAAAATCTTTATCATGACCAACATCTGAAAAAGTTAATTAAACATAAAAAAAGATTAAATGTAAACAAGAATCTAATTATAATGTAAGAAATGAGAAATGTACGTATCTTTTCTTTCTACACACATATAATGTAATTTATTAATTGCTTGTCAATTTACAAGCATATTAATGACTTAAAATTAATAGAAGTAATAAATAAGTTTCAACCTTTTCAGTTCTTATTTTGATGACGTCATAATTTGTTTCACAAGACTTGTAACCTGGTAGATAATTATGAAGACAATTCGGGAAATTTTTGTCTTCTATGTAAAAACATCGTTCATTTTCTAAATTATTCGTGACGTAAACAATTAAAATATTATCTTAATCATATGAAAATTTTTATAATAAAAAATTATATATGTATGCGTATATAAAAAAAGAAAGATTATCGAAAAATAATGATAATGTCGAATCTAATATATAACTATACTAACAATTTTGATTTCCAAAATATACAGATTTCAGTGTAAACATCTATTAGATCGCACGTAGACCAAGTCTTCTAGCCACGTTATGATAACACAGGCATTACAAAGTATATATGGTCAAGATATTGTATATACAACAATATCTTGACCATATTTACTTTGTAATACCTGTGCCAGGTATAATACAGAACAAATTGATCAAAGCGAGAGAATATTAAGAACAATATATAATATATACATATATGGCCCATAATTATATATATTATAATCTCTAATAACTTACATAATCTATACAAATCCATTTGATATCTTTGGGTGAAAATGGGGAGATACATGCTCGAAAATTCAAGATGCTAAATATATATTCTTGGAGTGTATCCATAATCTGCGTACTTTCTGTTTCATCCCATGATTATCTTCGATATTGTTGCTTTTCCAATAGGAAAAAGTTTCTTCAGACGTGGAGAATATCGAATGGTTTGGATGCTTCAATCTGAGACATTTCAGTACCTCTTGTGCGATTGTATCCAATGATGCACTTACATTCGTGTAACATACATCTTTTCGAGGTTGAATACGTTGTGCTATGAAAGTACATGTTTCTTCCAAAAGCTGTTCTCTTTCAGGTTTCTGTATATATCTGTCTAACTCATTTCGTATCGAAGATATCTTCTCATAGTGAGACATTTTTATATTGCAAAAT